AAATCCTCGTCCCCCGGCGGCACCTTTTTTTGAATTTTCTTCCTTTTCAACGCCGTTTTTCGGGGATTTCGGATTTTCTTTGAATTTTTTCGCAATAATATTTGAAAAATAGATAAATTTTAACACATTTTAATGCAATAAAAATTTCTGGTCGGAGTCCCCCTTTATAATAAGTTCAGGGACCAGAAAATTCTCCATAGAAACGTCACCTTACATTTGCACTTCGAGATCAATCATCTCGATTTCTGTAAGAGATACCAAAAAATTATCAACTGATAAAATATTCATCTTACAATTTCCAACATTTAATCAGTCAACTAATTCTGGATATCTCTTATAGCAATTGAGACCATTGAGCTTAAAGTGCAAGTATCTAAATGCACAGATAAGCCGAAACAAGTGTTACATTTCATTCTTGTCATTTCTCGACATTTTTATTCTATCTGTTTCACAAACTCGTATAAATTTGGACTATAATAAGAAACTTCCTAGTCCGATCATATCCTATTTTAAATACCATAAAACCGGATTTGATAATTTTCAGTTCAAAAAACTTTAATGGACTTCGAAAAAAAAATAGTTCTAATCACCCGAAAATCGAATTCTCAGCAAATAATTCAGTTTTTGAATGTAGAGGAAGATGAAAAAATTACTCGACACTTCGTGCAGAATTTCTGTTACTTCTAAACTTAATGAAACATTAAAAATTAGATTATGAATATTAGTTGTTCGAAAAGTAATGCGCGTTTTTTTGATTCATTTAACTTTATGCAAAATTGAAACACAATAAGACTAATCGAGGGGTTTTTCTCATACTTGTGGAAAAGATGGCTGGCCCGCGGGCCGGCCCGCTTTTTGAAAATTGAGAAATTTTAGAGCGAATCATCATTTTTCAAGATGGTCTTTCTTCTTAGTGAATGAAAATCCACACTAGAGGCCGATTCTGTCAAAAAAAACTGTTTTGAAGTCGTAATTAGAAAAAAAAGTCTCATCCTTGGCTTAATGAAGTTTGATTTTTTTGCTAAAAATGCAAATAAATTGACTTTTTCGGATGGTTGTATGCATTTGGATTAATATTTGTGCCATTATAAATATTTTGGCACATTCGAAAAATAAAATTTTCGAAAGGCTGTCCTAGGCGGGCCGAGCGGGCCGGGCCGAAAGTTTTGAGGCAAGCAGGCCAGCCCGGCCATCCACATGTATGGTTTTTCTCCATCATCATCTACCATTTTTTTTAGCAAAGCATGCTCAAAGATTCAATGCCTCTGAGGTAGAACAAAGCTAGCTGGAAGTCGAAGTAGTTCGCAATAAACGCGCCTTACTTTTCGGACTACCTAATAAAAACAAAGCACAATTTCAAGATTCATTGTTACTTTTTCACAAACTTCATGAAACGGGAATTCGAGAATATTAGGATAATGAATTGCGATTTGACTGTTCGGACAAAAATATTGGCTTTATATAGGGTCCACAACATTTTTTTCAAACTGTTTTTTCATGAAAACTTTTTATTTTATGTTGATCCCCTCTTCCTAATTAGCATATTTCCAAATTTTCGTCCAAAAACATTCGCTAATTCTCGAGTTACAGCTCATTTTGTGCTCTTCATTTTCCTCCGTTTTCTCAGCGAGTGGGCGGGGCGTCGCCGACGCAAGGCTGCCGCGCGGAAAACTTGCGAATTTTCTCTCGAGCCTTTTTCTGCGGAAATTTCGGTTTCAGACTGTTAAAAACATAGAAAAACGTGTCGAAAGTGTGGAAAATGGGGTTTTGTATGATTGCATTGTGATACCTAACCTAATTTTACTAATTTTCGCCAGGAAAAGGTTCGAATTCGGAAAAAGAATAGAAAACTCCGAAATTACTGAGAAAATGGCTGAAAAATGAAATCCTGAAGAAAAAATCGTGATCAATGTCTCTTAAAGGTTCTGCTATCATTCAGAATACCTCATAGAATTCGAAAAAATATTCCAAAAATAAAATGTCAAAATGGGACTCGAACCAGCATGTCCCCGTTCATCACACCTCCAGCTTAACCAGTACACCAAACGCGCACATGAGTTGTCGGCGTATTATTTTTTTATAACACCGCCATGCGCGCGCTCCTAGAAAAAACTTTTTTTTCAACGAATTTAATAATGGAAATTTCAAAAGAAATCTGCTTCGCATTTTCCTGCGCTAACTCTGCGCTAACTCCTCACTAGATTTCGCTATAATTTTCCATTAGAGAATGTCTTCAGTTACTCAAAACACCTGAAACGGAGAGTGTAACAAACTCCGATTTCTTTTACCATGCATTTTTCTGCCGCTCACTTTTGTTTTTCGCCTTTTTCTTTTTTTCATGTAAATTTTTTAGTGAATACAGTTATATAGTCAAATTCTACGT